GATCCTTATTTTCAGGCCATTTCTGCTACTCGCCTGGGAATCAAGCAAGTCAAAATGTAAATTTTTGCTAGAACATCTTTTTAGCGTTCAGGAATAAAGTTAGAGCATCTGTTTTTGTTTCCCAATATAGCAGGGATAGGTCAGTACTCAGTACCTATCCCTTTCTCTGGAAAAGGAATGTCCATCTACATGTCTTGATTCCAGATGAAAGGACTGTTGACTTTCAGGATGGAAATATGAAATAACAGAATAACCAAACTGACCAACCAAACCTAATTGCTGATCACTTGTTATAGATTTAATGCCAGTTATAACTCCATATAGTAAGAAGGATAGACTGGAGTTTCCAGAGGAGATTTGATCTCCACTTAATCTTTGCAAAGTCACCTAGCCGAGGGTTCTTCCTTTTACCAATTGAAGAACAGTGTGGGCATTAAGTGGGTCCACTGGTTTTAGGCGAAAAACATAAAAGCTATTAAATACTTAGTAGCTTGATTCTTGCTTGTGGATACTTGTTCGCTTCATTACTAATGAGGGCTAATTGGCAACCCTGATGTAAGCCAGGCCTTAATTTTGCTATTGCAACTTTAACAAGCTTTGCTTTTTTTTTATTAATGTCAATTCTATAAGGCATCCAACTAAGAGTCATACGGATTCTCAATTTTTCTCAAATGTTTTTTGAGGCAGACTTGCAAATGTAGGTTTGGAGCAAGTGTGGTGTTTTAACTAATCCTTATTTTGTAGTAAGAATTATTGGTCATATATTTTTACTTTTTAATATTGCCTATACATCCATGCTTATTGGTGGTAAAGTTTTCATAGGGGCCAGCAATAGCGTCTACATGCACCAATCGCAGGTCATATATCAACTAAAATATGCAAACATTATTTGAAACTAATAAATTGGAAAAAGGAGTAATATGTATGCATTAGACACCAAAGGTTTTAGGGATTATTAATTTAGAATGGTTTCTGTGATTAGGTCTTAGGGTGGGTGTCTATCAGATCAAATGTTTTTCATGGCGGGAGGACAAATACCTCCTAGTTTAAAGGTTTGAGCTTCTGGCCAAAGCGCTGGCACTGTCAGATTGAGTTTTTCGGATAAGCTGGTCCCAGCTTTATAACCTCCCTCCACATTCAGCTGATAACAGCAGCTTCTTTTCTTTGTGCTCAGTGATGCGAGAAAGAGGCTTTGCTGCTCGTCATCTCAGTCACTCCCAGACAGGAGCAGTTTACCGAAACATGGTTGTGTTATGTTGGAGGAATGTAGGGTAGAGTCAGTTGGACATTATAGCTGTGTAGCTGGTGAGGGACTGGTCTATTTGTATTTTGAAAAGATAAATGGAGAGTTTTTTTACTTTGTATCCTCTACGTGTTGCCTCTAACATGCCTTGTCAGTTGTCATCTAGCAGTGTGTGGTCTCACTGCTCTTCTGACATCTTATGATAAATGAGTAACATTTACAGGGGGCACATGTGTTGATTGGCTTAAACTGAAACATAGATTTAAAGTTTACGCTAATTTGATAATTGGAATTTAGCCAAATGTATGTTGGCAGAAATAAGATTACTTTTATGATTGTCTATTATTGTGCAAATGAATAGCTAGTATTAGTTTGCCACATTTGACTGGATTTATTTTGTAAACCTAGGGATGTTTTACAGCTTATTGAAGCCATTTCTTCACTTCCAGTGAAAATCTGGAACCTACCGCAGCATTTGTAATAGGTTACATGAGTATAAACTCTGAAGTATATTACGAACATTTTATTATAGCTGAAGAAGTGGCTTGGATAAGCTGTGAACCATCTTAAACAATAAAGAAAAAGTCAATTTCAACGTGAAAAACTACTACCAGCTATACCATGACTTGGATAAATAAACTTTACAGACATAGACAAAAGAATATTTGTAGCAATCACTGGGAGACGGAAATAATAAACATATCAGGCTTGCTCCTCTCCAGTTTTACCAGAACAGTGACAATTTAGTTTTTGCTCACCTATGGGCACATTTGGGTGAACGTTAACAGTTTGGGTGGGTTAGATGTAGGGTGTAGGTGTGTTCCAATCAGTTTGTTTTTGCATGTTTGGAAGTAAGCTTAAAGGAGAACTATGAGGTGAGTGATTTTCACTCAGCCTCATAATCTGAGCCGACCTGTGACAATTAAACTGTCACAGGTCGGCTCAGTAGATCGGGAAGTGAGCGAACACATACCGTCGCTCGATCACTTCTCGATTCTATGACGGCAGAGAGCCGTGACGGGAGGGACTGGATTCCCCCTCCCCTGTCCAATCCTCCAGCGCTGACTAGCGGAACGGACGGGGGAGGGGCGGGTACAGCTGGCTCTGCCTCTAGATAGACAGAGCCAGCTGTCACTCACGCATCTGGGTGGATCCAGACATAATTGTCAGGATCCGTTCCGGCTGCGCCGTCTCAATATTGAGCTTTGGGTGACGGGGAGGACTCTAGTTTGTGTCTTCCCGTTACCCTTAGAACTATGGGGAAAAGCCGTTACCAGGCCATGAAGAATACTGGAATGGCTGATATTATTGCCCATTGCTTTGATCTTTGTATTCTACTCTCCACACTATAATTTATATTTTTAAGGTTTTGGTGGTTAATTTAATTTTTTACCAACTCAACAAGCAGTACAGGCTTCTTATAAGAACATTCAAGTGATACTTCAAATACAGTTTACCTGATTTTGGTATAAAATCTATAGACACAGAATGGACTTGCATGTGTTGTTTTTTTTTTTTTGTTTTGTTTGTTTTTTAGCTTGCGTTCCCATTATATTTTTCTTGCACGTAAAGCAGTTTAGAACACCTTAAACAGTGATTCTCTACAGATTGAAAGAGGAGCTGAACCCTGGAAGCTTTGCCCAAAATGGTAGGCAGGGGACAAAGGACTAGTCAACAGTGTTTTTTCCCTATTACTGACTCACCATGCCTTGCTCTGTGTTAAGGTGACCACTGCTTAGGCACAATTAACATTTTAGATGTTCCTAAAACATGGCAGGTCTTCTCTTTTTAAGTTTAGTTCCATGTTAACTGTTATATTGACTGCAGAACTGAGAGAATCTAATGAAGCATGTCATGGAGAACTTTTTGAAACTTTTTTTTCTTCAGGCAAGTGCTGTGTGCACACTGTCTTATGCTGTATTGCCCTACATGTCTTTTGATCCATCTGTTCTGTGTGACAGGAAAGACTGGTCAAAGTATCCCTCTGTGCATATTGCTGGAGCCTTAGGTTTCCAGTTATTGGTTAGGTGTCTGCTGCATTTTCTTAGTTATCCATATGTGCATATGGCAGGATGGGCAACCATTCGGGGCTACTATGATCAATGTTGACGTCAATATGCCCTAGCCCATAATCGGATATCCGTTATCAGATCAGAAGAATTCCTGTTGATTGCTGTGACTTTCCACACTGGTCTTGGCCATATTGAACAAGAATACTACTTTTTTTTAAATTAAGGTAAGTCCCTTGGCTTTCCATATGTCGTTAGCTGAGTATTTTGTTACATAGAGAATGAAAGAGAAAGTGGGCAACAAGGAGTGATGTACCCAACTACAGCATCTGTTCCTACCAGAGGTCCCACATTTTCTCAGCGTCTCTAGCTTAAGCTTTGGGTTAAACGGGTAAATGTTTCATTATTAGTAGTAACTGGTAAGAGTTCCTTTGTTTACAAATGTTTCACCGAAATCTATAAATATCTATGCATGTTCTCTATATATAGAGCCTATGATGATCCTCTGGAGTCAGAACTGATTGAAGAGAGAATCCCTTATCTCCACAGTGGCTATGCTGCACCACTGGCTCAACCAGAGAGAGGAAGCCTGGCCAGCATAGACCGCCTGGGAAAACGCTCGCCTTCCATTGACAGCATGCGCAAAGATCCCCGATGGAGAGATCCTGACCTGCCTGAAGTAATTGCCATGCTCAATCATCCCATCGACCCAGTCAAGTCCAATGCAGCTGCTTATCTACAGCACCTATGTTATGAGAATGACAAAATAAAGAAGGAAGTGAGACAACTCAAAGGCATTCCCATCCTTGTGGGATTATTAGACCACCCTAAGCCTGAAGTCCACCGTAAAGCCTGTGGAGCCCTCCGTAATATCTCTTTTGGAAAAGATAATGAAAACAAAGTTTCCATAAAGAATTGTGATGGTATTCCTGCATTGATACGGCTTTTGAGGAAGACCAATGACATGGAAGTTAGAGAGCTCATAACAGGTGAGGTTCTGTGATAGGGATGTATATGATTTATATTTTAGACCTCCTTTTTGTCTTTTAATTAGAACTTCACGGGTAGATCTAGTTCAGCCCCTGATTTCTGTGATCCAGCACCCATGGCTGTCTGAATATCTGGAAAGTGACTGCATCTGATTGGATGCAGTCCCTGTTCAGCAGACAATTTTCCAGTGGTGCCGACAGTGTACCCCGTGACTGAAATTGCGGCCAGTTCAGTAGGAATCACCCCAAATCAAAACACTGTATGGCTAGCTTGAGATTTTGTACACCTTTTTGCTTTGATGCACCTAAAATGTATTTAGGCAATATAAAAAGTTCAATTGGGCTTTAAAACTTTTTCTTGTGCCAAATATCTAGGCCTGTAATTTTAAATGGCTCAACGTCCTGTGGTGCCAAAACTGTACTATTTTCGTTTAGCCTTCTGGCTGAACAAAAACAATATCGCCAATTCCTCCATCTGTGCTAAGCAGCATGGATGGGCCAAATTCCCTTTTGTTTACACTGTATTTTGACAGTGGCTGGCACTAAATAGCTGCACGCACTGTTCAGCCAAAGATGTTCCAACCGGTTTCTTTGATCCTCTGATCGAGGGATGTCGGTCAGAAGGCTGCTGATGGCGGCACGCACTGAGCAAATTTCATCCAGTTAATCAAGAACCAGACAATTTGCATAATGTACGGCCGGTTTAAGTTGAGGCTCTCCCTAAAGAGGTGGATATTTTAGCTTACCATTTAATTGCATCTGGAATTGGAAGATTTTTATGATTTTGTTTGTCTTAAGTTTGCTGCTATAAGGGAAGTAGTTTCCTCGCTCTGTGGTCTTCCCTCTCATACTTGAAATGTCTGAAGTCTGACTGGTTGTATCATTCCTTGGCATGTTTCTGCTAGGCTACAGAGTTTGAATGGCCGTCCCATAGCACACTTCGAAATCTGGCAAGAGCTTGACACCCCTGGCTTGCTTTTATAAGCTGAAGTGAAAACACCAGTCTATAATTTCTCAGGGAGGGCCCAGGAGTCTGTCGAAAATGGCAGGGAGCCCTCCCAGGCACTTAAAAAAACAAACATGTATGCTGCTGTTTGTGGAGAAATCCCTGTCTAGCCTAACAGCTTGGCAGAAAGTTAACCTGAAGGCCGGGGCACATTTCACATCCTAGCTAACAATTTCCACGTTAAATTTTGTAAATCATCTTTTTTTTTGTTGTCAGGTTTGAACAGAACATTTAGGGCTAGTTCACACCAGGTTAATTCAGCTGCGTTGATCAGCATTGATCAATGCAGGCTTAATGCAAGGTGACGAAGAAAACAGTTTTCTATATGCCATCCCATGTCCACACCATAGAAGTGTGTTGCATAAAAATGCAACACCATCTGCGTTTGTACACAGTGCAGCACACAATTTAGTACAATGTACAACAGCACATTACAATCTGCTGTTTTGCTTTGAAGTCCCTCCCCCATACCGGTAGCAGGGAGAGGGCAAGGGATTGGGTAGTATTTTATTCTAGACAGAGGAGTGACCATTGCCATCAATGGACACTCGCTTTGCATGTGACCTCCCCTTGCAACAGGGATGGGCCTGAGTGGCCAATTGCCAGACCCCAACATTGTCACAAGGGGACTGCAGTGATCTGGCCTACCTGGGCAAGGCAAGCTTTGACAACATCTGACACCACAACTTGGACTTTTGCAGCAGAGAGGTGATGAGGAAGGGTGGAAACATGGGCATACTTTCCCTGAATGGGCATTAATAGTGAGAGCATCTCTTTATTACCTGATCAAAATACATAAAAACAAATTGCAGTCATCATTCTTATGCCATTGTTAGGTGGTATGTCTGGTGGGAGCTTTGTATCTATAATGCTCTTCACAGTGTTGCTGACTTGATCCAGAAGATTTAAATAGAAATGCAGTTGTTGGTAAAAGTACAATATTGACACCACCTCCATAGAGTCCTTTTCATGTCCCTTTTTATCCCACCAACTACAGATTATATTTCAGTCAAAACGTTTCTTTTGCCAGCACGATATAACTTGTAAAACATCACGCAAACCTTGTAGAAGAAGGCCTTAGTCACGTGGGTCTCCTGGTGTGTGTGTTTTTTTTTTGTTGTTGTTGTTTTTTGAACAGTGGAGAAATTGATCTAAAAAGTATTTTTATATGCAAAACATGCATGCATCAACATTTAATATTGTTCACATGCATTTAGGTTTGCCATACAGATTTTTCACAAACTTCCTTGTATTTGTGTTTACACTTGTTCAGAGCATCTAATTTGCCTCTGGATGCACAGATTTCTATTTGTTTACTAAAAGCAATTAGAATGAATGCAAGTAAATGCACAGCGTACAGGCTCCCATTTAAAACCATTACATAAATGTATCTGCCTTTCAAAATCTCCGATAAATGCATAAATCAACACATTGTATTGCATTACCTGTGTCAATGAGGCCCTAAGTGTTTCGCTGGCAGTATTGTCACAGTATTGTCACTTGTTCTGTTTTTGTCAGGGTGAGGCATAAAGGTGCTAAATCTGATCTAAATGATCTACATTCTGTTCTGGGTTTGACACATTTTTTTGTGTGCAACCTTTGCTACGGCATGGTGGCCACATTAATGGATATAATGGTCATATCCTGCTAGCTACTTGATTTATTCTTAAAGTGACATTAAACCCTCAGATTTTTTAACATAAAACAATACTGTAATGTGTGCCTTACTTTAATCCATGGTTGTTTCCCTTCTCTTTGCTGCTCTTCCTTTTTAAATACGGATTTAAAAGGAAGAGCAGCAAAGAGAAGGGAAACAACCAAGGATTAAAGTAAGGCACACATTACAGTATTGTTTTATGGTTGTTTCCCTTCTCTTTGCTGCTCTTCCTTTTAAATACGGATTTAAAATGCAGTTTAAGATTTATCATCATTTAAAAGTAGTGAATGGTTTTCAGTAATGTAACTTCCTATCTTTATGGATGCTGAAGGACGGTCATCACTTATCTATGCACTTTCAATTTTTGTGATCAATAGCAGATTAAGCAAATGCAGTACTGTATTGATTTACTGGTATCACATGATATGTAGCAAATATCCTCTTCCCAATATCCTTTTTCACTTCCCTTAAGTAGTAGCATATCAACTTACTGCAGGGGATGTCTGAGATGCAGACAATGTAAGAGTAATTTGTTTTTGCAATACCAAATGATTGAATATTTCTTTAGATATATCTATAGATATATCTAGTTTTACATGTTGTTTTCTAAATGCTGCTTTTGGATGTTTAGAAAAAGTTGTATGTGTGGTGTCCTCTTGCAATTTTTTTACCACTTTATATGAAATGTTTGCTGTAACAAGATAAATCAAATGAACGTGGCATCTGTTCATTGTTCCTGAAAGTATACAGTGGTTGTGGCCATTTGTCTCTAAGGTTTTTCTGAGATCCGAACAATTGTATATTGCATTAGGCCAATTAATTCTGGTCATCTGATGACCCAGTGTGCTGCTGAAATATCTCATTCCATTTAGGCATAGTTAATTGACTCATACAGCTGCCACTTAGAACTGTTTTTTTTTCTTCTGTTTTTCTAAAAGGTACTCTGTGGAACCTGTCCTCGTATGAACCTTTGAAGATGGTTATCATCAACCATGGCCTTCAAACATTGACTAATGAGGTGATCATTCCTCACTCGGGCTGGGAGAATGAACCCAATGAGGACTCCAAACCCCGTGATGCAGAATGGACTACAGTTTTTAAGAACACATCTGGCTGCCTAAGGTAGTGTTTTTTTTCGTTTTTTTTCTTTTTGTGCTACATGCTGTAGCTACAGTGGTTTTAAATCCATGTCCAACACTGAAAATGGTTAGTGTTCCACTTATTTGAGTGTACTTGTTGTTTATAGATTATTACGCTCCTTGGTGGGTTTACCAATACATTTCATATCCTGGAAGTGTACTCCTTCTTTTTTTTTTCTTTCTTTTTTTCTTTTTTCAGTGAAAGCTTGTTAAAAACTTAAAATTGCAGAGCGGACCTACCTACTGGTTTAAAAATTTCATTTAAATATGGAAGTTAGTTTAAATCCAAATGTTGCTTCCACTCTGTCAAACTCCCTTCTTCTGCATTGATGCCAGGTCGATGTCCTTTATTCATGGACCAGATTCCTCTTTTCTTTTAGTGCAATCAAGTCCACTGTGCTTTGTGCTGATCTCATGGTATTGCTTCCAGAATCCTCTGCATTTAACAGTAGATACAGAACTCCTGCCACAGTAGGGTTCTTTTAAATGGTGGGGTTAGGTTACCTTACTTCATCTACAAATACTGTAAGCTTACATGCACAATTTTAAGCTCAATAAAATGCTTGGTTTAAAAAGCAAACCTACCTTTTATAGGATAAGCCCTGCTTTAATTAAGCTTTAACATTTTAAAGTCTTCTGTAAGTGATGCACAAATTAGCAGATTTATATAGCCTGATGTAATTTATTAACCAGGGGTAATTTCCTGTAACGGTGATGGTGGGAAACTTCATATGGCGATGTTAAGTTTCCATCTGTGGTTGCAGTCACCTCTAAATTGAGGACTACTGCTTAATATAGAGAACCCACTTCTCACACATTGGTGTATGGACATAATATTGTGCATTTTTATTTAAAGTGTCTTCTGGTTTGTTTGGTATACTTTCAATCTGAGTGGAATTCTTGATAAATGGTATTGCCATGTAAAGATTACATCATATTGGAGTGTGTGTGTGTGATTATATAATGTTATTTTCTTGTTAGACTCTTTTGTTTACTTGATACAGTCTGGTATGTGGCTATTATCTCTTTGAGCATCAGTACACGTACAAATGGTTCATAACATTCTTTATTAAAGCACATGTGTCTGCTTCCTATACAAGGCAAACCGGTGAACTTTAATGCCCTCCTCCCCATGAGGGCTCCCCTAGCTCTCCATTCATTTACTGGGAGTGAGGGAGGAAAGGGAATGTTGTGTAAGGAATTAATTGCTGTATCCAAAGCTTGTCATGTGGCAGGATTGGACAATAGTCGAGCACCTTTGTGGTCACATGAGAAGAGTGAAAATGAAAGGTTCGCTTAGGTGACAACCCTGCACGAGCCGCTCAAAGAAAAAAAAAATGTTGTGCCTTTTCCTTTATACAGGTGGTGAGGGCTGTCATCTGAGGGGACCTTCCATTTTCATAGGTCCAATTTATCAGATGCGCTATTATAATCATTACTTACAATGTAAAAGTCAATTCACAAAGATTACAGCACATGTTATTACTCCTTAAAATAACACTAGCTTCAGGCTGGTGATAACTGAGATTCAAGAGGTGTCTATTGAGGAAAGCAGGAAAGGGGGCCATATGAGGTGGTGGTAAAATTACAATCTCTAAGAAAATAAAGCCATCTCCATGCAGAAAAATAATGCCTACGTACCTTTTTATTTCTGTGAATTGAACAATTTTAAATGACGGTAAGATTAAATAAAAAAGCAAAAACACTTTCAGGTTCAGTCCCAATCGAGAATTGTGGAAGTTGAAGTGTTAATATTTTCTGGGTATTTTGGGAACCTAAAATGCATGTATGATTTGTATATTATGTTAATGGTAATGTAAAAGCTTTTAAATCTTGGCACATAGTAGTGGAGACCATGAAATGGTATCAAGACAAATGACAACCTTTAAGCAACTTTGTTGCCAAAATCTAACGCATACGTTTTTTCCTTTTATGATAAATACGTACTTAATTCTCCCCCCTGCGTGCAACACCGAACCCTTCTCCCCTTGCCTGCAGCACCGAACTTAAGAGTGTCCATTTCCTGGTTCCTCTTGCACAGGGGTAGCCAAACTCCGGCCCTCCAGCTGTGGTGAAACGACAAATCCCATGATGCATCTCTCTCCGGAAGTAATGTCCTAAGGCTGTGAGAATCTTGCAATGCCTCATGGGATTTGTAGTTCCACCCCGGCTGGAGTTTGGCTACCCCTGGTCTTGAAGAACCCTATGTCGAGACTGTATCTTGTAGTCATATGGGGGTCAGAGAGAGGAACCGCAGAGCACAGCAAGGGATATGGAGATATTCACCCCCGAAATGTCCCTTTGCTATTCCTGACATAGGGATTGCTGGGGGGAACCTCAGAGTGTAGTGGTGGACTGGAAAATTGACTACCAGAAGTCACTTCTATGTCCTGTAGTGACCTAGGGTTTGGCAGGAGAAACTACAGAGCACAGCAGGGAACCAGAAAATGAACACTTGCAAAAGTCCCTATACCACTACTTTGTAATTACCACGGAGCAAAGCAATATACTGTAAGATCAACATTCCCAGAAGTCCCTACGCCAGTGGAAAGGACCACAGAGCGAAATGGGGGACCAGAAGATCAATACTCCTGGATGTGTCTGTTTTTTCTTCAACTGACAAGTTCCCTTCATTAAAGCGATGTTCATATATGCGTGCAACAGGAAAGTAAGTATTCCCCAATAAGTGGGACAGCTTTTATACGCAGTTGGATTTTTGGGACAGAGCTGCTTTAAAGAATGTGGTGTATACGGCTGTAAATAAAAGGTTTGCTTTTTGTGTGTAAAAACACAAGTGAAAACTATAGACAGATTGTATGCTATGAATTACATGGCATTTTCTTTCTGCGATCCAGTTTTTATCAGCGTTACATGATGTATGGTTATAATGTTTTGCTTCAGGCACTCCTCAGTAATAAGCCTGTATAGTATTAGTAAGGTTTTTTTTTTCTCCTTCTCACATCTGTAATGGCAACGAACATTTCTGCATTAGTGATAGCATTAGATTTTCAGTTCCTTTTGCTGGCTTTTCTTTCCATAGTACTTACTGCCAGCTTCATTTCTTAGAGGAGAGATCACTGAATGGCTCTTTCAGAGCAGCATTTATCTCCGGAGAGTTTCCATTTCCAGTCAGCAAGCCGTGCACAATGCTGAGTTTTACAGCTAAGTAAATGATAGATGGCACAGCTTTCCCCCTAATGACATGGTATTCTTTTATGTATACGTTAACATGAAATGGTAATGGACTGCAGAATTTCTTTAACACATGCTCTGATATTGGCTTGTGAAAATGGCAGAGCGTGTTAAGAAGTTGGAGCCTTCTGAGAAACGGAGTGTATTAGTCTGCTTCTATTAGCATGTGGGATGAAAAAATGCTTTATATTGCGTCATCCTGCTGCTGAGGTACGCAATTGTCCCAACAAATAGAGGCAGCATAAAGGAATTTAATTCAGCAGTTTGTCTAGTACCGTATGTTTTCCCTATGTTTTCCGCAATGTCCCTTTTGCAGAATGGGGGAGTAAAGCTATATGTAGCAAGTCAAATTCTCTCCATCTGCTTTTGATGTATTGACAAAATAGAGAACAGTATGGGGTAACACGTAGGGGTATTCTATCAAAGATTGTGACTGGGTTGGAATGTGTGACCAGTTACGTGGCCACACATTTTAACGTAATCCCGCCCACTTTTTCGGCAGTGGAATATGTGACCCGCAAAAGGTGAAGAATTCCATGCGCTCTCAGATGTTCCAGGGCAGATCGGCATCGCAGATGGTATGTGCAGGAGAACTGATCGGTCCTGAAATGTCACTTCTATCCGACCTCTGTGGAATGTGAGAACGCAGTCACAAAGTCACATTTCAGGACTGATCAGCTTTTCCAAGTAAGATCGGTACTCCTGTATATACAAACTGCGATACCGATCTTCCCTGGAACAGCTGACAAAGTGTTGGAATTCTTCACCTTTTGCCGGTCACACATTCCACAGCCGAGAAAGTGAGCGGGATTACGTTAAAATGTGTGACCACGTGACCGGTCACACATTCCACTGCCGAAAAACTGGGTGGGATTACGTTAAAATGTGTGACCATGTCACCGGTCACACATTCTAATGCAGTCACAAACTTTGATAGAACAGGGGCATTCTATACTGCTAGATTTTGTTGGGTTGTATCATTAGTGATCTCCTTGGTAGTTAAAGTTGGTAGAAGTTGGCACATGTTTACAAACGCTGCAAATTATAAAATGACATACAATTCTTTATCATTTTATTACACTGTTTTTCTTATATAATTCTTTAAGAAAAGCAGTGTAACTTATAGGAAGAGACCTCCAGAACATCAGCAACCTGTGTTTAAAAACATTACTCCATTATACACCTTTTTTGTTCCTCGACTCCCTGAAATCTGTAAAGAGATTTTCTAATTGGTTGAAATAATTCTATATGATAGGGATAATCTTTTCTGCATCTTATTCAAAAGAAGTTGGAATTAATTGACTACAGATCCACCATTTCTGTTAAATGGCCAGATCACAAGACCTACATCTGCAAATACTGGTATGTTCAACCACCAGATGTCTCCATGCTCCTTGTACTCTGTGAGACCTCTAGCTGTCTATTGCCACTCTAAGCAGGTCATGTACATTCTTTCCAATCTTGAAATCTAAGCTTGGCAGTTCAGATTTTAAAAGTAACATACTCCATGTGAAATGACCAATAAATGTTGAATTAATATTCTAGTAAGCAAGTAATGTCATGAATAGTTTTTTATTGCTGCATGTTTTTGCTGATTTAGTCCGTCATAAAACTTCCAGTTGAAATCTGCTATGATTACGGTTTTAGCTTTAGAGCTTTGCACTTTAATCAAAGTGATTTGATGAGTGCTACAAGCAATGAACAGCACGTACTGAGGCAGCCATTATTAAAATTACACCTGATCCCAGAAGAGGTGCCGCTCTGTTTCAAGCACGTCTAGCCTTCGAGACA